GAGACAGCTTGCGCCTCAGGACGTTGGTTCCTCTTGTTAACTTTTTAATGATTTTTAATTTGAAGACCCCCAGAGGATTCTACTGCATAATGATTCTTCCTTTGTCATAAATGTTACCCTAAGAATTGTTTTAACTTTTTCCTTCTCTAACTTCTCAGCTTTCATCTTTGCTCAGTTCTTATGTGGTGGTTCTGGCCTGTCTTGATTCTATAGGGAAGCTGTAAGATAGCAAAAGGGTTTCCTTGTTACCTAGGTAGATGTTTTGGCTAGCTAGGCAGCACAGAATATGTAACAGGTATTTCCTTGGGTGGGTGTTAGGTACATTCTAAGTTGGAGTCTCTCGCAGCCCTCTGCTCAAGAGTATTTCAGTTATCTTTCAAAATCTCTTTCATTGCAGCTCATTCTGTTTTTCCAGGACACAGGTTGGCCAGGTTGCTGTTCCCTGTTGTGCAGCACTGGAGTGGTTGACCACGTCTGCTCCATTGCCCATGGCAGGGTATGGAGTGCTCCATTGTCCTTTTGTTTGCTGACAGGCCCTATGAAATGTTGGTTGTCGCCATCTTTGGAGATGCTTATTTGAAATGATGTGCCCATGGGTTTGTTACTGTTTCCCTAGAGTACGAAGAGAATGGTTTCCAGAGCATCTAGGGCTTTCTGGTTGTGGTGCTGCCTCCCTGCGTTGGCAATGGCCAGAGTATACTTGAGTCCTTTCGGTGATGAGCAAAAACCAAATGGTTTTCTATACTTCCCTGAATATCAGCATAGGTGAGCATCCAGGTTCCGTATGGGTCACCAAAGTTAGTGGTGGTTCTGCCTCGCCCTAAGGGATTCTGTCTGCTGAAGGAAAGCTCAGAGCACCTCCACAAGTTGCCTTGATTTACCCTAGATGGGTGTGGAAGGGCATGGAGAACATTTCCTCTCTCCACATCTTCCTGCCTCTTCCTCTTTGATTTACTTTCCAAAGGTACTAGGCAATTTAGCCTCAGGTACTGGATGCTCCGCAGCCCTGGCTAAAAGGGAGCAGCAGGGGAACAACAAACATTTTGGAATAGGAATGTACGACTTCCAGCAGCCATTAGAGTCTAGGGCCTGGAGTTCCTCCAGGAGACTAGTTGCTCAGGGTGTACAGAGGGAAAGAGCCAATCCTGCGCTCACTTCCTACTTTTCTCCCTTTTTTGGGGCCCTGATCTAGGTTGAGACACTGTCCTTCTCTAAGGACATTATACCATGTGCCTTTCTCCCCAGCAGTGAGCTCTTCCTGACCCAGTCCTAGGGGAAGTGGACCAGTCTTAGAAGTCGCTGTTCTGGTGGCAAGAACTTAGGAACAAGTCCAGAGCAACTTCACTCTGTTCCCTCCCCTTCTCAGGGACTTGTGCCTCCCAGGCTGCTGTCCTCAAGTTCCTTAGCACGTCTGTCACAGGTGTTCTTTAGCACTGTACTTTTCACCCAGTAACTGTGACAAGCTGGCCACATCATTGCAGGGCTGGTGTGTGTGAGTGTGTGCTCGCGTGCTTGCTTCCCTCCTGTTTGCTCTGCAGTGCGTTGTGGGGTTCAGGAGCGGTTGATGTACCTTCGTGTGTGTGTCAGGAAGAGGCTGAGATCTTTAGGACGTGGGAGTCACACGCTTCCTCCTACTTGCTGAACTGGTGGGCACTTCCTTGAGAGAGTAGCTGTGGTTGGAGCCAAGAATTTTGTCCCAGGCCTCCAGGCATCATGTTGGAGGTGGTCCAGGGAGTCGGGGCCACCCAACAAGCTGCACCATGGCTTGCTAGCTGCTAAAAAGGAGAAGCACATGCCCTTTCTGTTTCCCCAGGACCAGACCCTGAGCCACTCACTTCCTCTGTACTGTGACAGCACTGGTGCTGGGGGCGGTGGTGGTTTTCAAAGGGACCGACTGTAACCACTTTAATTTATTATTAAGAGCCTTAGTTTGACTTAACACTTGTGTAGGCTTTCATTTTGTGTAGATTTGTGTGTGTGTGTGTGGGTGGGTGGGTGTGCACATAATTCCTAGTATGTGGCTCAGGTGAGTAGGGTATCTATTAATGGTATCATGTTGCTAACAGATGTCACATTGGCTTCTGCAAAAACTATACTGTCTTGTTTCTGCATTAGAAGTAAGTAGTCCTGTGAAAATACTGCCACGTCACTTTTAATATTACCAGTTTTATACTTGGGAAATGGTACTTGCCTCTTTTAAATCTTTTTTGTCTTCTCTAACCTTCCCCCTCTTCAAAAATATGCTCCCTTCCTAATTGCAGCAATAATCTCTTTAAAAGAAATTAAACAATTAAATGTCCCACTGTGGATGGTTGCATTCATTTGTTTACTGGGGTGCACACAAACCAGATCATCATGCCCTGATGGCAGCGCTCCAATGGGCTGTTGGTGAGGGATCGCCCCCTGTTGGTGAATCGTCATGTGGCTGCTAATTGGCAGGGCCAAGGGACACAAGCTAGCAGCAATCGGGCTGGTGTCTAGGAGCTTCAGTAGGTAGCTGATTGGTCTCTCTACACCAGGACTGGTAGACACACCTGTTCTGGGAGTCCTGGAGGACAGGACATCAGTTCCCCAGGACCAGCGCTATCTTCTGTTTCCTGCCATCTTCATCTACTCTACTTGCCATGTACCAAGGAATAAGCCACCTGGATGGTCTTCGGCCAGCTGGGCCACACAGCTCTATCTGACCAAAGGACATGTCATGGCTCTGAGCCTGGCATTTGGTCTTGGGGCTGACAGAGCTCTGGTGATCTTCACACGTCACTACTGGGCATCTTGTTCCATTCTGAAAGAGGAAGAGGAGGTTTCCCAAGGGCTGGTCAGGATCTAAGGCTGTCTTCAGGTAGCCTAGCTTTCCATTCTGATTTTCATCCCATTCAGACTTTTCCAGAATGAAGGTAAGGAGTGCTGGCTTTGTTGTAGCTACTGTCAAATGGCCTGGTCCCCTGAGCCTCATATAAACCCTAAGGAGAGGCCAGGGTGTGCTTGCAGCCGGGGCCTGGCCCATCTAACAGGTAGTGACCGGGAGGCCTGGCACTGCCTCTGCAGCTCTAGACCCCTTTGCCTTCTCTGTAGGGTTCTTGGAGGCACCAAGCAGCTTCTAGCTGGTCCCAACAGTGACAGAAATAATGACAGGCCATAGCCTGGGCGGGCAGAAGGCTTTGATAGCCCTTTCTTGACTTGGGGTTTTAATGGCCTTAGTTTTCACTTGTGCTTTTGTGCTTGACATCATCTTTTCTCTGCTTAATATCCCCTCTTATTTTCAATTATTGGGATTAGTTTTAGAATAAACATATGTTTCTGAAAAGTGTTGCCTATGTCTTTGTCCCACACAAAGTTACCTTATACAAATGGAGGGCTGCATGGGTGTCAATTTTTTGACTCTTGATCCATGATAAAAGCAGAGGCACAGTCCACAACTCCATGTCTGGTGTCTTCTGTCCTGTAATCCTCAGTCATCAGATATAAGAGACCTCTGTCTGAATCTTGCTGGTCTTGATGTTAAGCATTGCAGAGAAATCACCATCCACATGGGTCTTGATTGTCTTTTACAGCATGTAGGCTAAGAAAGGGTCCTGCTTACCCTCTTTAGACAGCAAGCTTATTTCTCAGCCACCAACCTCTGCCTCTTTTGTGGTCCTGGGGTTTGACTCATCTTGACTGCCTGAGTTGGGATCTTGCAGGATGCCTGCTCCTAATGACTCTGGCATTTGCCAGGCATCTCAGGGCCCAGGCAGTGCTTCAGGTTGGCACCACAGGTGAGCGATCCTGGGAGAGAGCTTCCCTGACTGTCTCACAGCACATGCAAGGTGGGGGGTCTATGTGGCATGCACACTGGGGTGAAGGTGAGTCTTCTCTGTCCCCTTCCCAGTCATGGTACATCTGTAGACCTATTCTGTCTTGGAGTTACTGACTGGGGACCAGTCCTGTGCAAATCAGCCCTTAACTGACTCCTAAACCACAGCTCATTTCCTGTCTTATAGAATAAAAGCAGGTGAGCCCTGAGACCTTGGCTAAGATTTCAAGAAATGCAAAGGTCATCAGGATTAGGAGCTCGCCTTTGGTGTTACAGGTCAGTGTATGAGGTTAAAATAGCCAGTATACACACAGGAGGAACTGGCTCATGTGACTAGAGATCAGAAAGTCCCAAGATCTGTGGTTGGCAAGCTGGAGCCCCAGGAGACCTGAGGTGCAGCCTCAGTACAGAGGCCAGGAGGCTTGAGACCCATGGAGCAAGGACTGTTCAGTTTGAATCTGAAAGCAGGAAAAGACCAACGTCCCATCTCAAGGCAGATAGGCAAGTGTTCTCTTTTTTTTTTTAACTTTTTTTTAGTTGTAGATGGACACAATGATTTTATTTTATTTATTTATTTTTTTTATGTGGTGCAGAGGATTGAACCCAGTGCCTCATACATGCAAGGCAAGTGCTCTACCACTGAGCCACAACCCCAGCCCAGGGCAAGTGTTCTCTATGTGGAAGTGGGCCAGCCCTTTTGCTCTATGTCAGCCTTCTGCCTTAGGGAGGGCACTCTGCTGTACTCAATACCAACACACGAATCTCATCCAAAACATCAACACTGATACACTCAGAATAATACTTGACCCAAGGTCTGGGCACCCCATGGCCCAGCCAAATTGACACATAAAATTAGTCATGACTGCAAGAAGAAGACAACATCATCCCAGACGGTCTAGATAGAGGTCCCATGCCCTATTCATCTTTACCTGTGTTCATGATGCCCCCTTAGCCATCTCTGCCTCTCAAGAACCCTCCTTGGGTCTTTGACTCAGAATCATCTTTGTCACCATTAGTCACTGCTCATTTCTTATCCTGACATTTAGCCTTAACCTAGTTTTCCTCTGCCTAGTTGATAGTCTTCCTGATTAAGTCCCCTACATGATAAGGAACCTGAAGTTGCCTGGTGTGTGCAAGGCCCTGGTTCCATCCCCAGTAGGACCACATGATGCATTAGATTTTATTAGAAGAATAAAAACACATGTGTTTCCTAAGATAGGATTTTATTTCACCCTGTGTCACAGCTGCTTGGGAAACGGATTTGGGATCAAGACACATCCTGGGAAGCAAATCACTATTGTTGTTGGGAACCTGCCAGGAAAGGAAGGGCTCACTCTAATGTAACAGCCCAAGGATGAAGAGTGGCAGAGGGGAAGGGGCTCAGTTCCTGGTGTTGGCAGTGACGCTGCCATCTTCCCACAACATGGACTCTGCCCCTACATGGAGGCAAGAAGGGTGGACACAGGAGAGACGACTTCAGCAGTCTCAGGGACCAAGGGCTCCCTACCTGGATTCCCAGTTCAGTCACCCGCCCTTCCCCTGAAGAATGCAAAGAAGGGCAGGGTCTATGTCATGGACACTGCTACTTGTTCGATGAAGCTGGCCAGATTTATGTCCCGTTCTGAAAGGCCCGCACATTCATGGGTGCTCAGGGTGATGTGCACCTGAAACAAACAAACAGAAGTTCAGGGCAACTCCACTGACTTCACCTAAGAGTAGGAGACTCACTAACTTGGGCTCAGCCCCACTAAGCGCTCCAGAACAGCAGCTGGTCACTGCCATCTTTCCTGGGTCCTGCTGCCCTGACAGGTCTGTGACAGCAGTGCAAAGCCATCTTGTACTGCACCTCTCCTTAATGTTTTCCAAAAACAATGGTGACTTCAACTACAGAATAAAAATTTAACATCCAGATGTCAAGAGCAACCTAAAAGCTAAAGGCAGAACCCAAACTACTGCTGGCTCCTAAACTACCCATTTACAAAGAGCCTCTTCCATCCTTAATGTTTTTAAACAGGCCAGCAGAGTTCTTGGCACATGCTAGGTATGACTATTGACTATTCAATTGATTAAGCAGACAGATCTGTTTGTTATGCATGGGGATTCTCAGTTCAAGTTTATTACTTTTTTATTCTTCTATCCCCCCCAGAAAGATTAAAACCACGTGGAGCTATTAATAATTATGCCTGATTCCCACAGCCTTTCCTTTCTTGGGTTTTGCCTTATCGATATCTACTTTAACCACAAGTATCTCAAAGTGTTTTAATTTGAATGTCCTTAATTTGCAGTGAGACTGACCACTTAATGTTGATTCTAGGAAGGAGGTAGACAGATTGAATGGACAGTCAACCTGTGGTGGGGGGCAGAGTCCAGTTCAAGGGAGAGCCTTCAGAAAGCACCCAAGTGCTCGGATGTGGATGGAGACAGAGCACAACACAGGCACACAACCTTGCTCACCTTGTTGTACATGTTAAACCACTCAGGATGGTGGTCCAGCTTCTCTGCCTGCAGGGCCACTCTGGTCATGAAGCCAAAAGCCTATTTAAGTGAAGTGAAACCCAGGTTAGCGCTCTAAGAGAAAGGACTCCTGGGCACCTTTTACTGGTTGATTGATACAGGAGGCTGGACTAGCTTCCCTTAGCTCTAATCATTTCCCATGACAACCTGCCCCTGCTCTGAGATCTGACTTCCAGGTTGTCTCTCTATAGCAGGAAGAAGGCCTTTTACTAAGATCCCTAACAAGTTCAAGAGGTTAAAGTCTTAGTCTTTTGACTATGAAAACATCCTCAGATGTATCTCTGTTTGTTACTTGGGCTGTCTTTTCTGAGGACTGTTCCAGGTAGGGAGAGTCCAAGACCCACATTCCTACTCTGTGATTCCTGAGGATGCCACTTTCCAAGTTATTCAAGGAAATGAATTTCCCCACCAGCGGTGCCTGAATAAACTGGATTAGTGTGTCTGGCACTGTAGGACTTGAAGGGAGGGACAGGTGTGGCCCACCAGCCCCAGAATGGGCAAACCCTCCCACCCTGGACACACCCTATTGAAGTCTTTGAAATGGAACTGCTTGAAGATGGCGTCTCGGCCTTCCATCTCATTCCACCCCACAGCCCTCAGGTTTGGCAGCAGCTGGTCTCTCTCCTCAGCACTTAGCCTGTGTGCTTTGCCAGCCTAGAAGAGGAAGAGAGCAGAGGCCCAAGGGCATTTCTTTCATAGGTCAAAAGAGAGGGCCCCAGACCACAGGGAACTTAGCCAGCCTGTGCTGGCTGCTCTGGACACGGATGACCAAAGGGCAGCAGCTCTCTAGGCAACAGACCAGCAGGACTTGAGAGGGGTGCTTCACCCAGGAGGTGGGGTCTGGGCTTACTCACTGATAGGCTCTCAGGTGTTGAGTTTTACACTCCCCTCAGAGAGAGAAAGATCCCAAAGGAAGTGTAATGCCAATCACAGGACGAAGCAGCACTCCCCCCTCCAACCCGCCCCAAGCCCCCCAGCTGTGTGGATTATATCTATGATGAGGAGTAAAAGCAAAATCCTGCCCAGATCTCACACAAGGTTCAGGAAAAGGGCACCAACTATCAGGCCTCCCTTTATCAATCTTCCTTTTTTTTTTTTTTTTTTTTGGTACCAAGGATTGAACCCAGGGACGCTCTACCAGTGAGCCACATCTCCAGCCCTTTTTATTTTTATTTTGAGATAGGGTCTTGCTGAGTTGCTGAGGCTGGCTTTCAACTCATGATCCTCCCACCACAGCCTCCTGAGTGGCTGGGATTAGATCTGCACTGCCACTCCTTGCTCCAGCCTCCCTTGGTATCAACTCTGTCCTCTCTGCGCCCCCCACCCCCACCCCTCCAGAGCTTTCAGAGAAAGCGGAGGTGTAGAGAGGAGACAGGGCTTCTCCACCCCTCTCACCCCAGCACTAGGAGGTTCTCAAAAGTGTGGTCTGTGCATCTGCATCCCTGGGCTGGGCTGGGCACAGCATGTAGAACGCGTTTCCAGTGATTCTTAACCACCCTGCAGCCGACTGCCGTGGCTCTGCGCCCCAAAGGCACTTAACCACACTACCACCTAGCCTCTGGTCCCCAGCTGCCAGGCCTAGGTTCTCAGGCTTTCTGTCTCCTGGAAGCTTGGGGAGCTCTGGCCACAGGGCTCAGTCCCAGAGGGGGAGTAACTTGTCCTGAGGCAGCTGGCAAACCCCATCCTGTTTGTCTATTGGTAGGGCACACTGGAGGAAGCCCGATGTGACACGGGTCAGGCCACGAGGGAACCCTCAGAGAAGAAACCAGGGTCAGTTCTGTCCTCTAGAGGGACCCAGGAGCTTAAAGGACCCCAGAAGCTAGACTTCTAAAATAAAACCACCCAAGAGCAGACAGGGACGGGCCAAGCTGAAATCAATTAGGTCTGGGGAGAGAAAGCAAGGGAGTTTCCTTGAGGTTTTAGGAAGCAGCCCACAGTCTGGACGCCCTGGGGGGAGTTGGCCCAGCTGGTTTAAGTCTCAGTTTTCACAATTTACCAGTCAGGTGGCCCTGTGGCACTCAGAGAATTTTGGATTCATGGGTCAAGCGACAAGAGCTCTACCTCACGAATCATCCAGAAGTGCCAGTGCAACACTTTAATAAACCACACGGCTACTAAGTAAATGCATGGGTTTTTAAAAATACCTCCTGGGTCAGGTGCGGTGGCATAGGCCTATAATCCCAGCGGCTCAGGAGGCTGAGGCAGGAGGATTGCAAGTTCAAAGCCAGCCTCAGCTTACCGAGGCCCTAAGCAAGTCAGCGAGACCCTGTCTCTAGATAAAATATAAAAAGGGCTGGGGATGTGACAGTGGTTGAGCGCCCCTGGGTTCAATCCCCAGAGGCCATGATGGGTTCACTGCATTGACCTAGCACTTTGGGTAGAAGATTTTCTCCCTCCAGAATATGTGGGATCTTTCTCTGAACTGGATGAGGCTTGGTCCTTCTCTTGCCATGGCTACAGACAGGGACAGGGATGGCAGCTGAGATGTGCATGGTCCACCTGACAACAAGGTCTCCTTTCCAGAGCTGCCTTTTCTGGGGCTGATAAGCCTGGTCTGTTTCCAGGCAACCAAATGTCAGCCAAGACATCAGAGACCAGTTTATTTTCTTTGCTCTGAAAGGGGGCAGGCAGGTACAGGTGAGCTCCTGAAGGGCCCCTATATCTTTTTAGAATCTTCTAGGATTTCCAAAGTCCCATAGCCTGGGCAGACTGACAAAACTGAACTCTGGGGTCAGAGGGAAGGAGCCTTGTTTGCTTAGTAAATCAGGGTCAGGCCTAGACCCACCTCTGGTCTCTGGGGGAGTGTGCGGAGGGGTTACTGATTACCCAAACCTGCATCTCAGCCCCTATCACCAAGCTGTAACTGCCAAAATGCCCTTCCAGTCCTGGATGCTCCCAACGACGGTTCCTGGCCTAGACGCTCCCGGATGCACAGCCCGGAAGGGTCTGACAGCCCGCCCCGGCGGGGGGGGGGGGGGGGGAGCCCCGGGGGGGGGGGGGGGGGGGGGGGAAAGTTCAGCCTGGAAGAAGGATGATCCGGGGCCATCAGGAGCCCACGCAGGGCACTGACCTCCAATCAGGCGCAGGGGCGGGGTCTGAGGCCAGGTGTATTGGTACCAGGTCTGAATCCCTGCTAGACCCCCAACCTTAGTGGGGGCAGGAAGGGGCCTGGATCAGGCCCTACCCGGGCGCGCACAGCAGCTGCCCCCGCTCTCCGCCCCGCCTCTGGCGCGGGCGCGCAGCTGTGCGACAGGGAGCCAAGGCCAGGCCCAGCTGCCGCCTCGCAGTGCCTGCCCGCCACCGCCCCTCAACAGCCCGGTGGCCACCCCCGCCAGGGAGACCCGACCGTCCAAGGCGGGCCACGTAGGCTCTTCAGAGGCTTGAAGGGACCCCACCGCCCTCCCCACGCCCGGCCCTTCCCCGCCCCGGCGCGGCGCGATCTCGAGCTCACCATGTCGGGCGCGGCGCGCGGGCAGGTGGCCGGGCGGGCAGCAGGTGGCGGAGGCACGGCGAGCGCGCGGGGCGCTCTGGAGGCTGCCCCGGGGCGGAGCCGCGCTCGGGCCGCCCACTGGTAATGATTAACGGCGGCCGCGCTCAGCTCGGGGCCTTCCAGCACTTTCCTGGGCCAGAGAGCCGCTCCCGATGGCTGGCCCTTCTGAATCACGCCCCCAGTTCCCGACTGGGTGATCCTGGGCTCTAAGTCACCTGACTTTATCTTGAAAAACAATCGGATATAATTGACTGGGATAAATGGCACATATTTAGAGCACAATTTGACATGTGTCCGCCATGGAGCCATTACCACGATCAAGATCATTAAAACATCCCATCAGTGCTAAAAGTTTCCTCATGCCACTTAGGAAACTCTCCCCCTCCCTAGGCGACCACTGATGTAATTTGTCACTGTAGTTTGCATTTTTTAGAATCTTATGTAGAGAAGATGGAACCGTACTGTACCCACTCAGCATAAGTCTTTTGCGGTTCATCCATGTTGTGTGTATCAATAGTTCCTTGTTTCTATAATAAAGTAAAATTTATTTAATAGTCTTGCTTTGTATGGGTACACCCCAAATTGTTGAGCAATTCACTGTTGAGGGACCTTTGGGTTGTTTCCAGTTGGGCTATTACTAACAAAACCCTTAGGAATTGCATGCACAAGATTTTGTGTGGACACCTGCTTTCATGTTTCTTGGGTCAATACCTAGGAATGGAATGTTTGGGTCCTATGACAGTGCATGTTTATAACCTTGGGAATAACACTTGTTTTCTGAGAGGTTGTATTATTTTACATTCCCACTAGGCCAGAGTTCCAGTTCTACATTTTACACTCTCCCAGACACTTGGCACAGCCGGTTTTTTTTCTTCCTCCCCCTCCCCCTCCCCCTCCCAGATTGAAACCAAGGATGATTTACCTTAGAACTAAACTCCCAGTCCTTCTCCACCTGCTTCAGACTCGAAATCCTCTTGCTTCAGCCTCCCAAGTGGCTGGGATTACAGGCACGTGCCACCACATACTTGTGGATTTATTCTGCACTTGCTCTTCTGTTCCATTGATGTATATGTTCATCTTGACACCAATACCACACTGTCTTGATTACTATAAGTTTATTGTTATTATTTTATTTGAATAAAAATAAAATTTATTTTTTATATAAATAATGTGGATTGAACCCAGGGATGCTCTAATGCTGAAGTACGCTACAGCCCTTTTTATTTTTTGAGACAGGGTCTCACTAAGTTGCCAAGGTTGGCCTCAAATTTGTGATTCTCCTGCCTCAGCCTCTGGGATAGCTGGGATTACAGGTGTGCACCAATATGCCTGTCCTGTAGCTTTAAAATAAGTCTTAGAATCAGGTAATATCACTTCTCTAAACATTATAAAAATTTTTTTCTATTAACTTTTTTTTTTTTTTGGTATAGGGGTGTTGAACTCAGGGGCACATAGACCACTGAGCCACATTCCCAGCCCTTTTTTTATATTTTATTTGGAGACAGGGTCTCACTGAGTTGCTTAGTGCCTTGCCGTTGCTGAGGCTGGCTTTGAACTTGTGATCCTCCTGCCTCAGCCTACTGAGCTGCTGGGATAATAGGTGTGCACAACCATTCCTGCTTCTATTAACTTTTATTCCTGTAATCCATTCTTCTTCTCCCTATAGTAGCAACCTCTCTAATGTGCTAAATTTCTGTAAGTGATGGTGTTACCTGTCACATTCAGTTTCTTATAAAATAGAACAGTTAGTGGAAAATTAAGATATTTCCAAGCATATATTTAATCTGCAGTACTAAGTGTTGTCACTGCTGCTTGGTATTCCTTGATGAGTCTCCACTGTGGTTAAACATAGTACTGCTCATACTTAACACCACCGCCATCATTCTCGGGCCCTAGACTGTGGCAGGTGGTCGGTCCCTCATGCCTGTGCACAGCAGTAGACAGTGATTCTGCAGTGAACAGCTCCAGGAGCTCCCTGGTCTGCAGGAAGCTTCTTAACTTTAGTATCTGCATAACCCATCAGCCAGCAATTCCCCTCATGGGTGTGAATCTCAAAATAGTTCCAGATGTTGTCCAGAATGGCCATATCAGTCCCACTCACCTGTGCTGCATGAGCATTCCTATTTCCCTCCACATCTCACGTGGGCTTACCCTTTTTATTTATTTTGGTTAGGCTAATAGCTACAAAATGAGAGCTCACTGTTTTACTCTAAGGGACTTGCTGTTTGTAAACTGCTTTTTAATATCCTTTGCCTTTTTTTTAAACAATTTATAGTTCTTTTTTTAGTTGATTCTGTAGGCGTTTATATTTGGACAAATTGCTTATCAATTTAAGATGTTGCAAATATTTCCTTCCATTCTCCCATCCGTAAACTAACTTTAGTCTTGATGTTCTTTGTAGGTAGAAATCTTATATTTTAACCCAATAAGACTTATCTTCTCAACCCACACTGCCTTATAATTTTGTGTTTTTTCAAGACATTTAATAAGCTGGATGTGATGGTGCACATCTGTAATCCCAGTGGCTCAGGAGGCTGAGGCAGGAGGATTGCAAGTTCAAAGCCAGCCTTAGCAACTTAGTGAGGCCCTAAGCAACTCAGCGAGACCCTGTCTCTAAATAAAATCTTAAAAAAGGACTGGGGATGTGGCTCAGTGGTTCAGTGCCCCTGGGTTCAATCCCTAGTACCAAGAAAAGGAAAAAAAAAAAAAAGATTTATTAATAAAGTCCTCTCCTCCCCGGGTCACAAAAATATTCTCCCTTTACTTCTGTTAACTTCATTTTTAGATTATGACTTTTTTTTTTTCCCCAGTACGGGGGATTGACCCCAGGATGCTCTACCACTGAGCTACATCCCCAACCCTTTTTATTTTTTTGATTTTGAGACAGGGTCTCGCGAAATTGCTGAGGCTGCTCTCCAACTCCCCGTCCTCCCGCTCAGCCTCCTGAGTAGCTGGGATTCTAGGCACATGTCATGATACCCAGCTTGAAAGTTCCCTTTTCATTACTTGGGATATTAGCTAGTCTCCACATGGTTCCTCAACTGACCCTTGACTCCCAATAGTCATACTCTGTGCAGTTCTTCCATGTTGAATCTGGGGTGGCCCTGCATGACCAACTGAATATGGTAAAATATCACCACGTAATTTCAAAATCAAGGTCAAAACCAGCCAAGGACTTCTGTGAATCATTGGCCAGCCACGGAGCCTTGGTTATGCGAATTTTCCCTACCATGGAGCCCCAGCCCCAGCCCTGCATGCAAGTTTTTGTAGAATATCTTCAGTTGGCAGTTGGTTGAAGGGACAGATGATAAACCCACAGATACAAAAGGCCACTGTGCTACAGGCTCGGCCCTTTTCCCAAGCTCACCAAGAAAGTAAGGGAAGGGCAACAAGGAGACTGAATTCTACCTGGGCAGGCCTGTTCACAGGGACACAGGTGACTGGTCACTTGGGTGGTACTAAGAAGGGGTGCCCTTCGTAAAAGAGACTGAGAAAACATTGGTTCAATTTGAACCAACTGCTGGAAGCCAGGTGTGGGCTGCCTGTCGGTCTAGATAGCCAGGGCTAGAGCTGAGGAGAGCTGACCACACTAACAGGTTTTTATCCAGGTAGAGAAGGGTGACAGAGAGAGACACCTCCAGGGCTGCTGCCACCGTGGGAAGACACCAAACCAGTCCCGTGCTGATCTAGCCCTGACCCAGTGCTGAGTGGCCAAAATCTTTTTTTTTTTTTTTTAAGTGCTGCTTGAGGGAGCACAGAGTAAAAGTGGTCAGCCTGGAGGAGAGGCCAACAGAGCTTCTGGTAGAAGAAAATGCCCTCTGACCCTGGCAAGGCTTAGGAAGCCATACTGGGCCCAAGTCCTACACCAAATCCCGTAGAGGATGGGACCGCTGTGAAGAGCTGGAAAGGCCACCTCAGAGCTGGAAAGTCTCACCTACTCAGAGGGTGAGCGGGAAGGCTTAGCACTGGGCTGCCTGGGGCAACCAGCTCACATCTCCACCACTTGCCTAGCACCAGGTAGTAGCCGCTGTCACACTGGAAGAAGGTCCAAGATGGGGAATTCCTAGAGATCCCCTTCCCTGGGGATCAATGAAGAAATGGCAATTAACATCCCACCAAGAGACCCCTGCAAACCTCAGGGACCCACCTGAGGACGCCACGGGCATGCGCAGCCCCTGGAACTCGCTGACTTTGCTGATGCAAATTGCTTTAGCCACTCTGGAAACAATCACAATTTCTTAAACACTCCTGAACCAGCAAGTCCACTCCAAGAGCCATGGAAACAAGTCCCCCCAAAAACCTCTGTGCTGATGGTTAGAGCAGCTACACGTGGAAGCACCCCAGTGGCCTGGACAGGAGTAACCAACTGGTGCGTTGGTGCCCTGGAGTCTACTCAACAGTGAAGGCACCGGCGACTTTCATCTTCAGCAACAGGAATGGATCTCAGACTCAAAGGCAGCCATACTGTATTCTTCTAGGACATTCTGAAAACCACAGAACAATAGGGAGAGAAGAGGTGAGCGACTGTAAGGGCCTGAAGGTGGTGGGGGGACCGGGGTCCACCACAGCAGGGCCCAGGGAACGTTCTGAGGTAATGGGAGTAGTCTGCCTTGACCATGGTGTGCTCACGTGACTGGATGCCTTAGTCATAAAGAATGGATATGTAAATTAGGTCTCAATAAACGAAAAACAGTTACCATTGGGAATTAGTGACAAAAAAAGGCCTTAAGTGGACTTCTGTAATGTTCTATGTCTTGGTCCCCATATTGGGCACATTGGTCTGTTAGTTTGTGAAAATTATTCAATCTGTACACCTTTGAATTATGCAGTTTTATATGTATGTTGTATCTCCATAAAAAGTTTTATTTTCTTTCAGGTTTTTTTTTTTTTTTTTGATACTAAGAATTGAACTCAGGGGCACGTGACCACTGAGCCACATTCCCAGCCCTATTTTATCTTTTACTTAGAGACAGGGACTCACTGAGTTGCTTAGCACCTCGGTTTTACCGAGGCTG